GTGTGCAAACTTAAACAAGACAGCTACAGTGGATTCCGGTGTGCCCGGGAAGGTCTTCTGTCCTCTTTCGGGGTAGACTGTGGTTGCTTGTAGTTTTAATTGTCCATAAGTTCAACTGAATTTAATCCGTCTGATACGAAAATAACTAAAGGCGATATCGGACCCCTCAGGGAAAACAAACTGCTGATTTTTTAGGGGAGGGGGCTGGTTTTAATTAGCGAGCAGTCCACTCCAGAAATTATCAAGCAAGCTCCAACATGAGTTCGCGGTGTGTAATATTCGCACTCGGCTTTTCTTCATATGTCCAACCTATGAAAACAGGAATCATATTCGTGCACAATTAATTGCATAAAGTAAAACTTTTCACCCAATCAGTCACATTAAATTCTGCTAAATATTTACATGAGTGGAAAATCAATCATAAATGTACATCATGAGCGCTGGGTCTGCAACAATGGAGACCAACAACTGAATCGGAGTGAAGCTTAACTTTTTCTACATATTGCTGAAGTCGATTGATGCACTTATAAACACTGAGTGGTTCACTGCAAATCTTGAATCCACAGTTGAAAACTCAAGAGCAAATATTTGAGTTTTTACAATCTTGGATTATTATTGTCTGAGCACTTGGGAGATAAATTTGGAAGAATAATGTGATCAACAGACATAACTTTTGTGGACTCTTAAATGCGTAGGACAGTATTTTACAACTGTCGACAGGCTGGCTGTTGCACGCTAGTTTATATTTTAAATAGTACCATAGATTTGGAACAACAGGGATATCGTTCGTAACTAAAAGGAAACAGTACCAAAAGCTCAACATGCTTTGCTATTGCTTAGTTTTTTAAATCCGACTCTCATGCTAATGCACTTGCGATGTGTACATTAAGGGCCGACTGCGGATATAAGGCCTAAATAGACCATTCTGGTACCTATGGTATACCTCGAATGACTGACTTACTTCCGATAAAATTTACGCACTACAACGTTTGTACTAGGCTAAATGATAAAAGGCAGGCTTAGTGATGGATTCTAACAGATGAGGCAGCTTGCTTATCGGTGACCAATTTGCTGGTTCCAACTAAAACATCGCAACATGGATGGGAATTGGTGTTAGTTTTTTTAAATAGACGAATCCTGATAAGCTGTGCGTGTGTGGAACATGTCGCCCTATGCAATGGCTTGAAAGGACAGCAACCGTACTAAAACGTTGACTTGTCATGTCATTGGTGACTATGCAGCAGCTGAATGATAGACGTTAAGCTCATCTTTATAGTAACAGTCTGTCCACTGATCCCTAAATGAAAATTGTTTACTTCTGTGAAATTTGCTGATTTTTAATTGATCGCTGAACATGTTAACTATATTTACACTCCAAGGTGCACACATGATAAGCATAAAAGATTTAAGATCAAATGTCTGGTGAATCACGCTGGCCCTCACAAAAACAGTAGGTAATGCGTGTGCCATGTCGTCCTGAAAACCTACTGGCGCCTGTTCAATTCTACTTGATAATTTACTGATCAACTGCATGACAGTATTATGCGTCTTTTAATGAGGTTGAATTTCCCTACCAACTCTTGACGTGTTGCAGTTGCATTTAAACTGCTTCAACGCACACACATAATCACAGAAGGGAAACGCCCGTTTCTGCATCAGCTTGTTAATTTAACACCAGAAGTCAGTGCAAAATTAAGGGCCTGTCGTTCTCTAGTCAGTCCGTCGAAAGAAATCCGTGACCACAGAGAACATCAGCAGTAAACAATTCTCCGGATTAACCATATTTTAACCGACGCAGGCGCCTATGCGAGATCAGCTGGCCAAGGGTCATAGTAGTCTTCAGCTCATTGAAGGTTCAGGTTGATTCTGAACATTCCATATTTAATCTGAGCGCCCATTTGATTTTGTCTTGTCTGATACTTTGGTTGTAATTGAACACCACTTTCAAAACCCATAGATGTAAACCCCGAGTTTGGATCACAGGATACTCAGTGCAAACAAAAAGGCCAGAACCAACCACAACCCGTACATTTTCTTTCTAAATTCAATTTAGTTTCCACTATCCCGTGTAAGTGAACCGGACTACCTAAGGTTTGCCCCATTGCGAGAGTTACAAAGAAGCTCAGTGATGGCACTGAAAGACACCAGCGGTTCTCTTGGTAATGCGGCTGTAGCAAATCCATGTAAGACCTAGTGGAAAAGTCCGTTATTAGTCAGCGTCCGTGGTATCTCACCCAATAGTGCACACGCCAACTAAATGAGAAATCGTGCGCTTAAACCATGTGCAGGTGCTGTCTCTCAGTGCACTAAATTGGGATTCACATTTGAGATGAACCTCGATGCTATCATGCTTTACGAGTTTCTCAACCGGGCATAATGTATTGTTGGGGCCGCTCTCTGTGTTGCGTTAGCTTAACGGCACGGTCTTCACAAGGTAGGGTGTGCTCAATGGCTATTTGAAATCATCTTATCATACTTTGAAGTATTGTTACTAAAATTTAAGTGGCCTATTAGTATGAAACGAAAAAACTACGAACCCAATAAGAAAAATGACTAATCATACCAAGAAATCTACAGCAACAAGCGCCGAACTATAATAAGCGTGATGCACCTATGCAACATTTTTGCGGCCCAGATAAGAGAACGCAACTATTCTAAGAGACACATGCGGAATAATAATGCATTAGTTTTCGTTCCTCTTCGTTGCGATTCAGCCTATTATCATTCGGAAGTAACTTATCAAACTGGTAGAAGGTATTTAGTTACCGTTGTGTCCTTCCACTGTCCACAAATTATATACAACATGAAGACGCTGGTTTTTGGTCAGCACATTTTTACAGTTTAGACAACTCATTGAGGGTTTTAAAAGTTGACGACTGAATTGTGTATAAAAATATTTTTCATTTCACTTGAGTAGTATGTGCGGCCAAGATGTCGAAATATCCATAGCAGACGATGAGGTAGATCAGTATACTAATTGAGGCAATAATAAGGTTTTTGAGTTCGTTTTATTGAAATAATGAATCAGTGGAGAAATAATCCGTGTAGAACCCGCGGGCATTGACATAATTTATGTAGGAATTTTGTCATTCTTGTCTGGTTTGCCTTATCATGATAAATGCCATCACTATGATCCATTTTGGAAAATTCAGCATTTATTCGGAAACAGGCATTTCGTTAATGTACATTGGACTGGTAGTGTACTGGCTTCTATGCGAACCACATGTCGAACACTAAAAATAATCTATAATGCTCTGTAATATTTTAACAGTCTATACAGATGGTCTTACTGGCAACAGAAATCTTCCGGATACAACATGGAACAGTTAAGAATGCACTACATGTTGTCGTTACACTGGTTAGAAACAGCATCAAGCAGGCAATCCAGTTGATAACAGCTGACACTAATGGACTTTAAAAACACCGTACAGCACCATATGGCAAAACATTGACCTTGTATAGAGCTGGGGTTTTTAGTGGACATATTCGCACTTTTATCGTGACCTCCAAGCACATGTAACAAAGTCCGCAAGTTGAAACTTGTTCTTGGGTGAATGCGATGGGCGATTAATTTTCTGCAACCAAAACATATAACTCAATACTGATCCGAAAATTCAATTCTCTTACGCGTTCGTAATCAGAATAGCGTCAAACGGAAACAGCTAAGCATAGATTAAATTCATGGGGACAGCACCAGCTTCAACGAACGTTTCTCACTGCCTACGTTTTTCGGCCATGGCACCCTGTACCGACAGGTTTATGTGCGTATGGAGTGTTAAATATGCAGTTTGCTGCTAACAAATCATAATACGGAATTTCTTCATATGGTGTTTGGAGTGAAGTGTATATGTTAGAACGCTTCCAGATGGTCCTTTGGGACCTACCCGGCAATCGCCTGTCATTGTAGTGGCATTCCTCAATAAAGCATCTGCTTTTGGCACATCATAAATTAACATTGTAGATGTGAACCCATGATGCCTCACCGAAGAACTTCGAATTGGATTTGACTGACCAAAAGGCGACAAACACTCCCCTGTTTTTTTCATCAGATTCACTCTACAAAATTACAGCCCACCTACGTAGAACGCCAATTTGTTTAACACTAGGAATCTAATGGTAGCGCAAAACGGTTTCAATAAACCTACTTCAGTTTTATTCATTGCTTCCTCCAAATGTTCCACAAAATTAAATATCATAACCAAAGTCCCTTATACGAACCGATAAGAAATATTCATTGTATACTAAATTACAGCCGTTGGTGGTGTATGTAGTAAAACATTGTCTGCATCCTCATACTGGATCTTTCTACGGAAATAATTTCTTCAAGTGATGAGACCATATGCACTGCCTATTAGAATAAATATCTTTGTGTGAACAAAGCTGATTGCATTTGAGCACACCTAGCAAGCTATCACTAAGTACTTCTGATAACATAGATCAGTTTGTAGAGTGCACAGTCACACTTACTGTTCACCAAAGTTTTATTAAGAGGCGTTCGGAATAGGCATCAGTCACGCCAAGCCTACCGTAAGAATAAAACAAACCAAGACAAACTTTGTATCTTGCCCGAGCTATAAAATTACCACATTTATTTCTGTCAGAATTTTTCAGACCTAGCCCCTTTCTCTACGAGGAGACATATAGTTGCCTCGTTTGATAGTTTTACTGAACACAAAGCCTAATGTTGAAAATTCACGTAGACCTCATGCATAAATATTTTTTTAGCCAACGATAATTTTATTGTACCTAAGTCACCAGGTCAGGCAATAAACCTGGAGCGAATTTATGATGTTTTTATACTGGTCAGAACTATTCTTTGCCTGTTTTCCAAGAAATGTACATGTTAGAAAATCCACAAACCTGAATGACAATAAAAGGGACGAATGTAACGGGCTGAACTACACAAGTATTGCACTCCTCAGTACTTGACATAGGAAATATTCTGTCAGTTTTTGACACTATATGAATAAAAACTAGCAGCGTACGTATAGCGAACTTACGCAGAATGCCAACTACGAAAAACACAGATAGCAGGCACGTTACAAGGTGTCGTGCAGGAGCGGTAACCAGCTGAGTCATCCGCGATACGGCGTCGATAAGTGTTTCAGTTTGACTTTCGGGTTCCGCATAAGTAAAGTTGTTCATTTTTACTCAGTGCGGTCTTACGGTACTTTGGTTGTTTTATATATTTCTAATCTGCAATGTGGAGAAAGGCATTCGTCCCATACACATTCGGAAATCAATGGGTTTTCCCATTGGTTCCTGAACCAGGTTGATGTTGGCTATTTTATTGGTCAAAAATGTAACCAGCAGTGTGCTTTAGGATTTATCTCAGCTGTCCCAATTTAGAGGACATCAGGTAACATATTAGTAGGGTGTACTGCACAAATGTTAGGTGCTGGTATTTACAACTCGAAATTCATGTTGGAATCAAAGGCCACAATTTAGTGTCAAATACATTTCCTCATTTCTGCTTTTCCAAGAAATATTTGTGCCCGGGCAGTTTTCTGTATTTGTAGCATTTTGTTTTGCGCAATAGCTTGACGAAACAGATTTGTCATTCATATTTCCGAACATCCTAGCTTCCCAAAGTTTACTACAAGTTTAGCGTCCCAAAGTTTACTACAAGTTCAGCGGTGGGAAATACCGCGATTTTGATAAAAAACTCCTTTGTGCAGCAGAAAAATCCTTATTCGTATAGGAAGGTATTTACTAGCATTTTCGTTCAAATTCTTCGTCTCTGTTGTTTCGCTAACTAAAGCTATCCTGAAAAAGTGATTCGTGTTTGAACTTTGCATTTGGTAAGCTAGAAAATGTTTACAATCCATAGTGAATTCGACTTCTATAAATAAAGACTTTCGTGATTTTGAAGATACTGCAATATTATCTAATTTGTCATGAGTACTAAGTTCTAATTTGAACCTCATCTACAAACGCTCAGTTGAAGGTCTAGCTGCTGTGTATACTTATGTGTCAAACAAAGTTGACGCAGCCATTGTGGCAATAGTGGAATTGCTCAACCTTTAATTGTTGCTCCTTTTTGGCATTTGAACATAGACCATGTTTGACTGCAATCTTGCCTAACAAAACAGGCCTTAGAAAGTGGCAAATGAAATCCAAAATCATTCATTTTGTCCATATGGGGTCAATTGCGTAGTGAAATTTTAGATCATTTCCATATGACAGAAGTACAAAGCACTATGTTGGGCACCAGTATTATGAAGGTGATATGGTCACAAATGAACTCTTATAACGTTTTATACACAAAAGGCTCTCCTCGAAGGATGACCAAAAATGTCGAATTGATCTATCTTCGCTGATCTATCCGTCTATCATTTCGATGTTTGTGGATGGGTTTGATAATAGCATTTTTCTATCTCCAGGGACAGACTTCATCTCCAGCAGTCACATACACCAGGAAAGCAGATTGATTTTGCGCTAAGGACTTTCCTTTACCATAATTATTGCCTGCTGACTCCAGCGTCAGTGTTGTCGTTGGATGCCAATTCTTACGCAACCGGTTGATCTTTTATCCTCATCTCACATTTTCTTTATACATTTCCATCAATTTGGTGCGCAGTAGTTCAGAGTATTTCTCCACTTATTGGGTTCATCTTGTTAGATGAGGCACATGCTCAAATTCCTGGTTACTTTTCATTTTATACCTATCTTATTCTATGTTCAGGAAAGTGATTTTCGACTGCGGGTAAACAAACGAGCTCATTCATTTTCTTTCTGATAGTCATAAAAACCAATGATTTAAGAATTGAGTGATGAAGCACATCCATTTTAATTAACACCTACGGAAATTGAACGTTTGGACAATCTTTTTTTTCCACATAGTTGCGGACGGGCGCAGTTAGCTTCAGAAAATTTCCGTTTTACTTAAAAACATATTCAAATTCGGCAAATAAATAATTACTTCCCACCTTTAAATTGATATAAATATTTTTGCCACAAAAGTTTCCAAGTAATGACTTCTTTTAAGAGATCAGCTGGTTCAGTGGTCTTATTGAAACACGATTGACCGTATAACTGGCCTGTTTAAGCCCTACGAATGTTCAACTTGAAACGCATCACTTTTGTTTTGAAGAGAAATATTTATCGGTTCTGCAACAAGCATACTGATGTTGTTCAGCTAGAACATTATAAAAATGTGCTCACTTACCTCTTTTGAAAAGATCGTCACTGAGGTTCAACTAGGGGCTTAGAACTAACTCGCAGGAAGCACTATTGATTCCTCATCTTAAAGTCGTTTCATGGCTGAATTTCTATGAAATATAGCTGCGTTTTGGACATTTATACCTTGAGCCAGATCTTTTACATTTTTAGTTAGTTTGTGCAGCGCAAACTCTAACCACACGTTGGCAGATTGGGTGCGTTTTCATCCCATTCAAGATTGAACAGAAAATCATGATAGCTTATGGGATGGGTTTTCGGTAATCTGTAGCTAGTTGACAGCCGAGGAATGGCAACGCCGAACCAGCTGGTACTCTCCTCATATTTTATTTTGGGCACCACACATATGACTGGTTGTCACAGTTATCAGCCAACTTAAGTAGTCAAAGCAGCTGCGCGTTTTTCACATATGACCGCTATCACATAATTGTGTTTCACCGAAAGTCCCAGTGGTCAGCAATACTCAACGATGCTCAGCAAGAATAACATGCAATGCATAACGATAAGTTTACGCCCAGGTTTATTGCATTCATAGTGCTCTCAAAATCGCAATTGCATGCTTATTCCTTAGCTGTAACGATAGACGTATTCCGTCGAGCAGATCACTCATATCAGTGATTTGAGCTGGGTTTATCCCAGTCTGTCAGCCCATTTTTTTCACTTTATTTCCATTAGACAAGCCATGAAAAGTCTTAACAAAAAGACAGCAACAAAAACCAGTGTGGAACGACTATGATGAGTCTCATTTCAGTAAAACGGGGCTTACGAGTTAAGTTCCTCTTTAGACGTAGACCGGTCCACTGAATTTGCGTAGGCTCATCCACCAGCCACCGGACAAATGACCAAAATCCAAAGTATCCTCGTTCTCACAGACCCATAGGCCTAAAAAGAACATTTGAGGCCACGGGTTAAGCTGTCAAGAAACTACATATTCACCAGAATAAATGTGTTCATTTCTTTTGGCACTGCGTAAAAACCCTTGACAGTGAAACCTGATGTCCTCAATGAATTTGGAGCAAGACCTTTATACCAGTAACGCAGTGTTGGTCTATTAAAACCTATTAAATTGAGTTCAGTGCACACTACAACTTCAAAAGTGTAAAAGACAGAGCAATGACCAGTACTCACATAACAATTAAAAGTAAAATTTTAGGCTACCAAACTATAAATAAGCTCATTGTTTTTGTAATCGTACTACAGAAGTGCACTCATAAAAACGATTTTTAAGAATCTTACTTTGTCTTTCAGGAAGCAAAACGTCTAAATCTGAGTAAAGCTCGCTCTTCAGAGGGTAGGTTCTCAAGGAAAACTACCGCAAGCTGCGTGCACAAAAGAACTAGCAGTTCTTCACACCTCATTTGTTATATTACACTTCAAATGTTGCTACTTACAGGGGTTTATATCATTATGGGTATGATTTAACATGCTTAATTATTCTCAGAGACAGAATGATGAGCACGTTCGTGCGTTCAATCTAAAGTAGCCCGACCATGGACAAACAAAATAGGACTTTAAGTTAAAACATCCCGTTTGTTGCCAAGATTGCTTCCAAATTCAAAAACAAAGCAGACAGTGTTTTTAAGCAATTTGGTGTCTGGTGCTCCTTTCAAACTCGCGTAGCTTTATTCAATTTGAATTCAATATACAAATTGTCTCCTACGTTTGATTTTTCTGTTCTCCCGGGAACAACCCAGACAAGGTAACAGACAGTCTAGTTTCTAACGATCTAGGCGGCATTTAAGCCTTGACTGACGTACTTTTTCCAAGTTATGCGGTTTTTGCCATTGCTCCCTAATCTGTTAGTGATGACCTTGAGAATAAAGGTAAAATTAAAAGGAACTGAAACAAATGTTTGTCATTTTGACTAATTAGTTTTACTTACTACATGGTGGAATGGGTGACTGCTTGCTTGGAAGTCGAAAATATGAGTCATTAAACTTGAAGTCGCCATACTGGTAATTGTTAGCGCAGCTCATATCAATTTTACGATAACACCTATGGACCAGTCAATGTGTAGGAGTCTTTTGACAGACCTGACTGAGTAATTCGCTCTCGGATTCAATAAAAGTACACGTTGCGAGATACAGATAGAGGCATATAGTTCACTTCATTGACTGTTTAGTGGCAAGTTGGTCTGCCAAGTTGGTGCAAGTGCCTTTTCATTCAGATGCAACTACACGATAGATAACGGCTTCACCTGTAACCCGCCGTTCACAAAAAATTAGGAACCACTTCTACTCACTCATCATCACAGCCTTCGCATAAAGTGGACCAGCAGTATCCAGCACTTTGTCGAATCTATAGCTATCAGAAACTGAAAACGAGAAATGATTGAGCAGAAACAACTGACAACATCATCAACAATTCCTCATTGAATAACTTTTTTTGTCAAATCCAAACAAAGATAACTCTTTGGCTGACGTTTCATATCTATTTGCTGCATTCACCCGTAAAGCTACAGGTCAATACGCAATGTATCACGCCTGAGGTTTGCTTCGCTCTGCTTCCCTCAATCTGACTCTGGCCTGAATCCGGCTGTACTCAAATGTGGAAGATTCTGGTATACACCAGGTTCCTAGCTCCAGAAAACCACAGCTTGCGGCTGATATATCGAATAACAATCAAGTTACTAACGATTGTTCTAGTGAATGACAAGCTGGTCGAAGGTTTCCCGTTGGATAGCCTGGCCGTCAAACTAAATATGGCCTTATGTCACTAAACCGTGTCGGAATGAAACGGTAAATTTTGCGTCTGGTTACAAAATGTGTGCTCAGCATTGTTGATCGATGAGCACAGATAATTTGTGTCACATCCATTGATTCAGTTTACCTACCTAAACTGACAAACCTCTGCCGAAGGGTATGATTCCAGAACTTTTCCCAGATTAATCCAAAAGCTGTTCTTTGCACACTAGTACGGGGTCTACAAAACTTAACGGAGGGTCTGCAGACGATGATAATCTTCCC